AGTATTCTAGTATTATATGTATTTTTTAGTTAGGAATAAGTTTATTTAGTAGCAAAACTAAGGTTAACTTAGTAGAATATAAAGTTATAAAGTATTTTAAGATAATTGAGCTGGGAAAAATTTGTGTACGAGTAATAGACGAGAAGAGTTCTATTATTATTGCTTTTTTAATACGTTAATAATGTATTAATGTTAATAAATTATTATCAATACAAATAGTTAATTTTAGCTTTAACTGATATTTGAATTAAAAACTCAATGAATGAAAGTTCATTTTGATGCTCAAAATTTTTAATCAAATTATTCATCAACTATACCCCTTCTCTAGAGATGACTAAAGACAAAACTTATTACATAGTTTAATAGTAAATTTGAACTCTGTATTTGATTAGATTTCTTTTTATCTATATTGTTAATTTTTTTTATATGCAAGTAAAAAAATAATTTACCAATTGAGATGCCAAATGTTTTATTAACCATATAACTGCAAAATAATGCACAGGGCATTATTTTGAATTTTGGCTTGAATTAAGCTTAATTTAGGCTAAAAATTGAAATTATACCCCTGTGCGATATTTTGCAATTATAGTATTTATTTCAATTTACTAGCTTAGGCATTTACCTTTTTTTGCTTTTATACACAAACCAATGCAATTAAATATTTTTTAAAAAAATAATTTAGTTCATATAATTCTGTAGATTATTTTTGTACTTACTAATTTCTCAAGAATTAATTAAATAAAGTGTATATTAAACCGTTTATAAATATAATATGGTAATTTACAGTTTAGATAAAATCATCTAATTGAGCCATCAGAAAAATTTAATTATGCATGACTAACAACTAATTACTACAAGTCTGACAAAACTTTAAAGTAAATTCAATAGTAAGGGTTTAGTAGAATTTTTTACAGTAACTCATCATAATAATTTTAATATATTGTGATTATTAGAATAGTGAGCAAGTTTTGTATATGAGTTTTTTTTACAGTAACTCATGATAATTCTAATGCAAACTAACCCAACCTTAACCACATATTATAATTATTAGAATAGCAATCAAATTTTGTACATGAATTTTTTTCAGTAATAATGATATAAATAATTCACAATAATCTCAATGCAAACTTACTGTATATTATATGGAGAATAGGTTTGTGACAGAAGTTTTTATAGTAATTTACAGTCGAAATTACAATAATTACAATACAAACTAGCTACATGATGTTGTTGTACAAAACCTGAAATAGAAGATTAGAAACCGAATATTATACAGTTAGACCTAGATAAAATCGCCAGGTTGGGAAACAAAGTTTTAGTGATTATAAAAAGTTGTGACTATATAAAGATCAAAATTTATATGTTTTATAATAGCTACCGTACTGGACAGCAAAAACTATCTACTTTTTTTGGCATTGTTTAATGTCTAATGACTTAACAACAAGTAATTATTTTAAAAATCCCTCTTACAAATATATTATTGTAACCTAAACTACAAATTTGTAAGACAGATTTTTGATATCTTGCTTTTTAAAAAAAGCTATAAGGGATTAAAGTTCAGCAACTTTTATAGTAAAGCAAACATTTGGTGCAGGATAACTTACCAATCAGATTGATGCATGATCACATGTTCATAATTTGATTGATTAATATTTATTATTAAAAATTACTAAATACAAAATTTGGTGCTTATTATATAAAAAAAATTATTTTATATATTTTTAACCAATCAAAATTTTGGTACATGAAAATTAGCCAATCAAAATTGTTATAAATTTCTCAAATTTGGAGCCTTTAAAAAAATGAATAGTTTTTGCTGTCTGGTACTGTAGGTCAAAAAAATAACATGATTATAATTAATAACAAACTAAACCCACAACTTAAATATACATTTAACTTCCCAAGGCATTTTATTGAAACAGATCTACATAAACAAAAATATAAAACTAATAAAATTAACTAATTATTTACATGAAAATAAAAAAAAAACAACCATAAAATATATAATATTTAAATCAACCCACTCCTTCTAATCAATCAAACTACAAATAAACCAACCCATCCATTAAATCAACAATTTATAAAATACTTTATACCAACCTATCCTCTAATACTTAATACCTATATTCTCTTTAACCGAGTACAAGAAAAAATTACTGGCTAGTTTTATAAATAAAAAGTAAAATCAAATCAGTTAAATGATTTAAATAGAATACACCTCTAATTATTAGTACTTAACCTAAACATTTAAAGAACTAAACTTTCTATGCAAATTCTTACAAGCCTTTATTTAATAACTCACATGCTAATGTTGCTTGTCAGAAAATTACTCAACAAATCTGAAGTTATTAAAATTAAAAATTTAATGCCATGTCTTAAAAATTTTATTGTGAAACTTTGAACATGCAAATTAGCGTAACGAAGAAGAATAATAATACATATTTACTATATTTATTTATTTATTTAAATATTCGAGAAATGCGTATAACTATTTTGATTATTACTGACAATTCCTGTAATTGGCTTTTAAAAAATTAAACATATCTGAATTGGATCTAAATTCACAAAGTTTCAGCTATTGTGCATCCTCAATTTTAATTCAGGGACTCTAATATAGATCCAATTCCACAAACCTGCCGACATGACCTTGGATTTAACAATTGCATGATGCACAATAGTTGAAATTTTGAATCCTATTACAATCACGTTATTAAATCCATAGACCCTAACGCTAACGCTAATTTAAGTTTAATTCCGCAAGTTCGCCGATACGTATGATATACAAGCCAGTCAAGCCCAATATTATATAAAAAGCCTCAAATATTAAAATAAAGTATAAGGAATAGTTTTATTTTTATTAATCGCTTAGTTTTGTGTATATTTGTTTTTCTATAGCAAATATTTGTCATTTGACAAAATGTGTAATGTACGTTTTTGTTTATTTCTTTTTTAGCGAGAGTACTAGTGTTTTGTCAATATGAAATTAGATTTCATCAATTGAACTCAAATATTTGACATTTTGAATTTAGGTTTCGTCTTTTAGAGTTTAGGTTTTGTCTTTCGTCATTTTGCGGAAAGGGTTTTGCCTAACAACTATATTCGCACCTTGAATTTCTTTGAACGATTTGATTGGTCAAAGATCATTTCATTATGAGATTGTGTTTATTATTTGGTCGACTAAGATGGCTGGCTAAGCCGTCGACTTATTCGGTAGATAGTTAGAGTCCTGACTACTAACACTAGACGAACACTAAAATCTATAAGGTAAAAAAGGCTGTGCTATAATCAGTAATCCATTATTAGATACAGAAATCCAATTTATATGAAAAGTGCATCTATGCATTATTATATACAAGATATTTATAAAGTAAATTCAATATTTGAGGTCTATTGACTTACCATTAAACATTAATCTATAGAAACGGTTTATCATCACATCATTTATAAGTGTGACCAAGAAAAAAACCGTTTTTAATTTGAGCATCACCAGTAATTTTAAAATTTGATCATTATTTATTATCATATTGAACAATGGTTTAGACATGTTTACTTGGGCTCTAACGTTAGTTTTTAATAAAGTACATATTTTTATGCATTAATTCCAATATTAATTTTCGTCAGCATTTTCTGCTTCTATTTGTGAAGACTTACCTTTGCTCGATTTTATTAGCAAAGAATTTTATCGATAAGAAAATTATTACATTGGTCCATTGGTAAAATTTCAGAGCTTTACGAACTTTCTTTAGATGTTTAATACTAGTGTGAAGTTATATTATTAAGGTTAATCTGATAAATTATTGATGAATTTTTTTGCTATTTGCACAAAAATTATAGATCATATCGCATAAACATGGTACACTGGATGAGCCAATTCCGTCATATTTCGCCAGTTTCCCACCTTTCGTAAGTTTCGACATCTTTTATCAGTTCGCCATTTGCCATATGCGATTTCAATTGATGAAAGACGAAACATAGTTTCACATTTTGTTTGTGCGAAATCTCTGGGGTTCTCCTAATAAATGGATTTATAAATTTTTTTTCTAACAACTACCCTATAAAAAAATTAAAAAAACATGCTTGACTTTTTTAAGTTATCAGAAAATATTCATTTTTTCTGGAATTAAAATTTATATTTGTTTTTTTGAGGGTTAAGTTTCGTCTTTTATCGTCTCAAAAATTATGTTATCCATTAATATCTGACATTATTGTAATCCATTTAAGATTTGGAATAATTACGTTTTCATTAAGATTTGGTATGTATTTTTGCTAATTGGCCGAGGTTCGGGTTGTTTTCAAGAGAACATGCAGTGTCTTAAATTTTTAAATGTTCTTGAGAAGATTGAGAACATTAAGAACAATGAGAACATTAAATATCTAACACTAGTCCGGAGGCACGATTCTTGAACATGCCCATATATGCCAGAAATCTAAAAATTCATAGACCTGATTTCGCATTCACTATTATAATATAATAAATATTGATTTCTTAAGCCATTGTAGATAAATATTTTTTCGTGAATTTCAAGCCACATAAAATATTTTAAATACGGTCGAATATTATTAAATGTTCTTGAGAAGATTAAGAACATTAAGAACAATGAGAACATTAAATATCTAACACTAGTCCGGAGGCACGATTCTTGAACATGCCCATATATGCCAGAAATCTAAAAATTCATAGACCTGATTTCGCATTCACTATTATAATATAATAAATATTGATTTCTTAAGCCATTGTAGATAAATATTTTTTCGTGAATTTCAAGCCACATAAAATATTTTAAATACGGTCGAATATTATTCAGTTCATTGATTAGTAAATAATTGATTGTTAGTCGATTATGATAGAAGATAAATTATATTATGTCGACATCAATTAGTCAAAGTGAAGATTTTATTGTCGAAGTCAAGACTGATGAAAAAGAACCTGAAGACAAAGAAATTGAAAAGAAATCTGAAGACGAAGACGGACCCAAAGACGAAGATGAACCTAAAGACGAAGATGAACCTAAAGATGAAAAAAAGGGACCTGAAAAATATATTGCAGTTAGTCCGGAAGGCGACTTTCTAGTTGAATTTGTAGTGAAAAATTTGGGTAAATTATTTGCAAAGTATCTGTTTAATTAAATTAATCGTACTATTAATCAACTTTTAAAATTGTTTAGTTGATTTAGAATTCGAATTACAAATATATAATATTAAAAATTCGGATAATGCAGATGGTTCAATATTAGAGAACGACTCGGAACAAAAGGATGGCATGAAACCAGAGAGCGACCCAGAGCTAGAAGATGGCCAGAAATTATCGTACAGAAAATTTCCCAGCATCCCTACCACATTTAAATTCACTGATAGGCAACTAAATTTGATTAAAAATCAACATGAAGACATATTTAGGTGGTCCGTTGCCGTGTCAGATAAATCAACTATTAGCTCATCGGAATTTAGATTATTAGCAATATCTTGTATCAATCTTAAAGACATAAAGTATTTTAAGGAAAATCTTAACAAAATCCATCCAACAGAAATTCATAACCATGGATTTACTTTCATCTTCATTATTAATATTACTAATAATGATTATTCAATTAGTAATATTAACGATAAGAAATTACCTATTAATTATGGTGGAATAGTTAAATTGTTTTCTAAAAAAGACTATATAAATAATCAAAGTGCTGAAAAGGATAAACGAGCGGACAAAAGAAGTCAAAATGCTGACGGACACATTCTTATTATATTAACACTTTCAGGGATCTATAAGTATCACATGAAAAACATATTTATTAATAGCATACAAAAGTTAAAGTATCCGAAAAGAATATACAATGCCATCATTGATAATGTGAATCATTCATTTACTATATTTTACGAATCAGAGAGATATACATATGATAACATATGCTATTATATTAAATATTGCTTAAATAAAGAGTATTTTTTGGTTCGTACTATGAAAGAAGACATCAAATATATGGAACTTTACGATTTAAGGACAAACCAATTAGTGAATACCTTTCAGATGCAGAATTTATCCAGAACACTATATATAGAACTTTCTCCTCTTTACGCAATATCAACCAATGGTAAATTAATTGCATATGCATCGTCAGTGATTAGAGAAATAAAAATATATTTGACCGAAAGTGGTATTGAAATAGTGAGAAAACTTGTAATAGATACTGCAGCCTCAACATTCCAATTTATGAATTTTTTTCACAATGATGAGATGCTTCTTGTAATTTCAGAAAGTAAATGGTTTGTCTGGGATATTTTTGGTTCATTACAAGATTCTAATAAATTAGAGGATTTAGGATTTATAATAGAACATCCATTAAATTTTGATGAAATAGAACAATCAAATTCATTAATGGTCATTGATAAAGGTGGCGAGTTAGCTATTTATGATGATTTGATCATAGACAAATATTTGAAATATTTAAAGAAAGGTGATGAACAAAATTGGAAAAATTTATCAAGTGATTATTTTTTGAGGCAAGATCTTGATAATAATAATATCCGAGATCTTCAGGATGAAGAATCAAAATTAGATGAATATCATAGTATACTTGAACCCTGGTTAATAAACACTGACAGAAGACATTCACGATATTCATTCTATCTTGATGAGAAAAAAGAAAAATTTCTTTTAATTGGAAATCATACAATTCAAGTTTGGCATGATCAAGGACCAAAAGAAGGTCCTAAATCGAGAACTCTTGAATTCATTCATGTGCCCTTATCTCACTTGCCACTTAATTATAGCCAAGATTTAAATAAGACGAATTGGTCTGAATTCAAATCTATAAAAGTAATAGACATCAATTATTGCATCGGAAAATTCAAGCTTAATATTCAGATTGAAGATGAAACTTCTGAAAATCAAGTTGAAAATACTTTTCAAATCAAAATGGAAAATAGAAATGATATTATAGTTGCAGTAAAATATGCTTGTTATTCACTTAAATATTTATCTGTTTATAAAAAGTTTGAATTGTTTTTTGAGGATCTAAAATTAGAATACGAAAATATCGTTGAACAAACACGAAAAATAATATTGAGATTTATTAGAATGTATCCAAATGAATGGCGATTGTTAGATATTCGTTGTGATTTAATGAGTGTACTTATTGAAACGAGGGATTATGAACTTTTAAACGACATTCTATCGTTTAAAGAACCGCTTCATATACCACAACATCTTTCTTGGACAGGTGGAATAAGTACTATTCGTACTGCCTTTTCAGGTTAGTGTACTTAAATTGTACATATAGTAAAGTAGCACAGTACAAAAACGCAAAATTAGGACGGACTTGTGAAAATTATGATAGTACCATCAAAAATTTAACATAAGTTCGTCCGAACCTTTATTACTGTACAGTATTATTTTGCTGGATACCTCTTAAATTGTAGTATATAAATTCTCGTAAATTTATCGTATGCGCTAATTGTTAATATTTTACTTATGTACTTAAATGAAGATCGTACTATGCTAGCATATTTTTTGGAATATTATTCTAATAAGGCAGTCAATAATATCGGATGGATGAATACAGTTGTAGACATTATACCAGAATTATATAATAGTAATGAAGAGAAGAATGAAAATGAAAATGGTAATAATCTTTATGAGAATGAAATGGATTTAAAATCTGATTTGTCTTATATTACAAAATTAATACATAATTATGAACATTTATTTATACAGTAGAATCTTTCGCATATTATGCTCAAAAATTATTTTATAATCCTTGCTTTTGTGACAAGCAATTAGACTTAACCTCTTTTAAATTTCTCGAAATTTCTCCAAAGTCAAATGATTTATTAAAAGTTTATATTCCTATAATACAGTTGATTCCACAAGATTCTGAGTTGCAACTACAAGACATCGAGTATGAAACAATGATTTGCTTAAAATATGTTGGCACATTCTACTATAATTTATTGAATTTCACTTTAAATTTGCAACAGTTATGGTAAAATTGTTGATATTCGAATGGTCCCTTTAACAGATTTTACAACAAACAAGAAAGTATCTGACATTAGAGAAAGAAAATTTACAGATTTTTTAAAGCTTTTGGTTTCTCCTGGTCAATATTCATCTCTTGAGGATGAGGATTATAGTCCATTTATTAAATTCATAAAAAAAGGTGAACGTGATATTTTATATGAAAACCCATCAATGGGAGCTGTCATGAATTGGATGTGGTATTGTTCTAAATTCTATTGGCCTAGAATTTTATATATTTTTAGCATATATTTTTTAACCTATTCAATTATTTCTTGGGCATACATTGCCCATGCTCAAATAACTGGTACTCTTCAACATATTTTGTTTATTATAACTGTTGCATTATTTTATTATTTTTCATATTATCATATCGTTGTTGAAATTAAACAATTTCATCGTAAAAGAATGCAATATTATTTGGATCTTTTTAATCTGGTAGATCTTCTATCACTTATTATACCGATATTTATCCTCAGTTATATTTTAATTCGTTATTATACATTTGATGACGGATTTAAAAATGCTGAAAGTAGTCAAATCTTGACATTTATTATATTCTTAAGTATTTTAGTTCTTTGGTACGAATTTGTAAGTACATACTTATCCAATTCTGCATAATAACAAAGTTGTTTTTTTCTAAATTTCATAACATTCATTTTATGTACTCTGTCAGATTTTATTGTTACGTATATTTGAAGGTACAGTATTACTAATAAGTCACTTTAATAAATGATTACATTTACAATTATAATACTTTAATCTAGGTTTTGCGCACAACCTTAATATACTCTTAAACATTATTATTTCAATACGACAATTTTTATTGTTTTTTATTCTAGTTGTTATTGCAATGGTAACTACTATTATCTTCATGCTATATATTTTTAATTGTTATTTATATTAAATGTAATGTTTGATATTTTTAATGCCGCATTATTAGGGACATGCATTGTAAGTTTGTTATTTATCAATGATATTTTTACTAAACTTTAGTATTTTAAAATATAATCATTAACCATTTCATTTACACCTAATTTAGATTTATTCTTCTCGGTTATCCCTCTTACATTGGGTTAAATGATTCTTCAACAACATATGATCCATTTGCTAATCTTCTTGATTCTATACTTTCAGTATATGATTGGTCTTCAATTTCATTTGATATTTGGTATTTTTGGCCACTTACTATAGTTAGTATAGTTGGCAGTTTTATTTTTGTGATGATATTACAGAATATAATCATTTCATTCATGAGGTATGTTTTTTAATATTGTTTATTATTATTATTATTTCTTACTGACTTCCAATTCTTTTAAAAAAAAAGTGATGCTTTTTCAGATGCAGTCACCGATAGTAAACTTGGTGTATATCGTTTTCAAATTGATCTGATTCATGAATTTGCTCTTCTCGAAAAATCATTAGAATTTAATGATCTAGATTCCAAGTTTAAAGATAAAATAAGAGCAAAGTATATTTGTTTTTATGATGATCCGAATATTACAAAACCTTGGAAAGAAACATCGGAAAAAATGATATCAAAACAATATCCTAATATTCAAACTGTAAATAAGAGCAATTTTGAATCTTGGTCATACAATGATTGTGAATTCTTTTGGGGAAAATAAGAGAACTTGTAGAAGATATTAAATATTGTTCTTTAAGGATTTGTAACAATCTGTAATAATATTTGATTAATACTGTCTTTTTTTTTTTATTGATAAATTTAAATTCTTTTCAAAATTGTGAGATCTTATTTATTTTTTGAATTTATTTAGCATTAATCGGGACGAAAATCACCATTTTATGGTTTAACTGTTGTTATATGGTTTATAGAAGGGTTCTACCTCTAATTTTAAAATTAAACTTTAGGGTTATGGTTAAGGCTTATATTATACTGTAATTGGAGATTAGGGTTTTTAAGGTGCTGAATAGTTTACATACAGTAGTTCATTGAACACCAATTATTAAAGCCTTTGTTTAAAACAGTATACTGGAATAGTGTTGGAAATTTTATCAACCAAACAAATTTATTTGCCTTTTCTCCCCAAAAAAACATATGAACTTGGCTGTATTGGCCGTTTTTTGGTCGGCCAAAATTTTTTAGGCTGGTAAAGTTCTTTATTTTATTTATTTTATATTTTTTTTTACGATACAGAAACATTATATTGGCTGATCAGAATTTATTGTTAAGCTAAAATATTTTTTAGGGATGATGGTAAAAAATCATTTTTCACTAATTTAATCATGCGATTATAATTTGAATATAAATTAATATATTCGAATCATAATCATCCCATGTTTTGAAACAGTGAAAAATGATTTTTTACCATTCCTAATATATTTTTATTTAACCATGGAAATTTACTATTTCCATCATGTTTTTCACATGACGAACATTGTTATGATAAATTACGGCAATGGTGGAAATAGGCGTTCCCTATTATTATACACTTTAGTTGGCTTTAATTCGGAGTTGTTAATGGAGCTCGAATTGTTCTTGTTATTTATTGAGTTCATTCGGAGCTCTATTTATAATTAAACAATAGTTGTGTGATAATAATATGAATGATTTATTGTAGTTATGTTTCACATAGACAAATATTTGCTTGATTGAATCACGGGGTCCATGTGACATAGTCACAAGACTTAAGCCTATTTCACTTATCGAATCTACACTACGTACGTACGTACGTATGTACATTTTAATTAAAAAGTATTAAATGGCAATACTGCAATAGATTAATAAAATAAATATACTTCGTAAAATTAAATAGAAGATAATGGTGAAAGATGCTGCATTCTTATGTAATTTTTGGCGGGAAATCATATGCTTAAAAAGGCATTTACATTGTAGGATGATCAGTAATCAGAAATTACGTAACAAACTAGATTATTAATATTCGAGATTATTAATAACCTCATCCAATGATGATTTGCATTAATTCACATGATGCATATTATGGTTGTACGATTATTCAATTTATAGAGTACTGTATCGATTTGCAAGCACTAAACTTGACGTTTACTTAACGTTACTCCTTAGACAATAAAGATGATCCCATTACCAAACGAATGTCTTTTCGAAATATTTACTTCCCTTCGAACTTATTATAGATTCTTATTCTCATGCCTTCTTGTAAACCGTCAATGGTGTATGAACGTTGTACCCATATTATGGAGCAGGCCATTATCTTATTTCGAAGATAAAAGACTTATAAGAGTTTATCTTTTATCATTAAACGACGAAGAAAAAGCTCCATTAATACCTTTAGAAATAATGCCCTCAAATAATTCAAAACCATTATTTGAATATACGGCTCATACGAGGTCTATTTGCTGTTATAGTTTGATCCAAGGAATCGTAAATTGGCTTAATTGTAAAGGATATAGTAAATCTTATTGTTTACTTGAAACGGTGCAAGCAATTAAAAATTCTTTAATTGCAATGCTTTTACGAACATGTAAAAAAAATCTTGAATATTTAAATATTCATGGATTAATTAATAACCAAACAATGAAGTTATTACTTGAACATTATTATGAAAATTCTTCTGTTACACATTTAAATTTTTATAAAAATCATTTTAATCTCGAAGAAATTAAAACATTGGCTAAAGTTTTATGTAAAGATACCACCATCAGTTCTTTAAGTTTTAATTACAATAATCTTGGTACTGAAGGTATAAAAGCAATAGCAGATGCCCTTTGTGAAAATAAGACTTTGGTTTCATTTAGTTATCGGTATAGTCAACTTAATTTTGAGGAATTAAAAGCACTTGCTGAGTTTCTTTCAGAAAGCACCTCTCTAACTTCATTGGATCTTCGTAAAAATCAACTTGGACCAGAAGCAGGAAAAATATTAGCGAATGCGCTTTATAAAAACACTACATTGATTTCATTGGATCTTAGTAATAATATACTAGGTCATGAAGGAGGAAAAGTATTAGCAGAAGCACTTTGTAAAAATGTTTCTTTAGCATCTTTAAATCTTTATGATAATCAACTTGGTTTTGAAGGCGGAAAGGCATTTGCAAAAGCTCTTTGCCAAAACGTCTCATTGAAAACTTTAAATCTTAGTAAAAACAAACTTCATATTGGAGGAAATGTATTGGCGGAAGCTCTATATAAAAATACCACTTTAACATCTTTAGATATTTCTTTTAATTATTTTGGTTCAACCGAAGTAAAAGCTTTTGCAGATTCACTTTGCAAAAATACCACATTAAATTCCCTAAATCTTTCTATAAATATGCTCGGTTTGGAAGGAGAAAAAGCATTAGCAGAAACTCTTTGTAAAAATAATACATTGACTTCTCTAAATATTAATTATACTCAAATTGGTTTGGAAGGAGGAAAAGCATTCGCAAAAGCTCTTTGTAAAAACACAACTTTAAAATCTTTAAAACTTTGTGGTAATCATCTTGGTCTCGATGGTATAAATGCACTAGCTGAAGCACTTTACAAAAACACGTCTTTAACATCCTTAAATCTTTGCAGAAACCAACTTAGTTCAGAAGAAGGAAAAATAATAGCAGAGATCCTTTATAAGAACAACTCTTTAACTTCACTAAATCTTAGCAATAACCAACTTGGGTTTGAAGGATTAAAAGCGCTAACAGGGGCACTTTTTAAAAATAACACTTTAACATCTCTTGATCTTAGGGATAATCAATTTGGTCTAAATGAAGGAAAAGTAATAGCAGAGCTTCTTTATAAAAATAACGTTTTAACATCTCTAGATCTCGGAGACAATCAACTTGGGTTTGAAGGAGGGAAAGTAATAGCCGAGGCACTTTGTAATAACGCTGCTTTAACATCTTTACATTTTTTAAATAATTGCCTTAGTAATGACGAAAAAAAAGTGCTGGCAAAGACTCTTCACAAAAATACTGCTTTATATTCTTTAGATATTAGTAAGGATTCATTAGAAAAATTTTCTACTGCCGATTCTTTCTAAATGCCCTTTCTAAATTCCTTTAATTATTATATATCAATAGACATTTTATTTTCTATATTTTACTCTAGAATTCATTATAAAAATAAAAATTGTAAATTTTATACGTATATAGTAAAGCATATCTGAAATGTGTTCAAATTTGTGGCGCAAATGTGCGAATATTGCTTAAACTTCGAATCAGATTTCACGATCAGGTGTAACGTAACACTAATAGAAAATTGCGTTCGTTTTGATCCGCTTGTGAACAGAGTCACAAGGCGGTACATTATTGCGAGTCACTGGACTTTCCATGTGACAAAAAGGTCACAGGACCTGTTCAGGATGAGATGGGTATTTGAGTAACCTGATGATCTGTTAATCTCTTTGTCGTTTGAATTTTCTGCTCGACATTAGGTCCAGCTCCGTCGCAAGAACAAGCCAATTTCTTTTTCCTTTCATTGACATTTTTTTCTTAAGACGCACTTGCAAGAACGCCACGATGACTCTTTGAATCTCCTATATAAAAATCCTGGGTTTGCAGTCAAAATAACAGCACAGCGATCTCAGGCAAATTTTGATGGTAAAAAAAAAAATTTTTTTTGGCCTCGCAGTTACAAATAGTGCAAGGACCTTTATGGTGAAGGAATAGACTTCGCGGCTGCAAGGACTTTATGCTTCGCAGCTGCAAGATCTTAGGTGAAAGTTAGTAGGTAAAAAATATATATATATATATATATATATATATATATTTTAAGCTTCGCTGTTTGTATGTTTGTAATAGTGGTGTAAAAAAAAAAAAAAAAAATTGGGATGCATAGAGACGCTTGGGGACATGTTGTAAGCTTTGGGATGCAGGCTTAGCAACTGCTTCCTGACGTTAACAGTGCAGAGATTGTTGTTCAGATAGATATTTTTAAGTAAGCTTGGGAAAAATAAGGCATGTTTGTTACAAAAAAAAAAAAAAAAAATGGAAAAATGGGGATGCTCAGAGACATGTCGCAGGTTGGATAACTGCTTCCTGACATTAAGAACCCGTAGTTCAGGTATGTGCGCAGGAACACGTATCGTATGTCTGCTATAGGTATATAAATAGAACAGACACATACGTTGTGCAAGATATATGTTAATGTGCATGCGAATGGGTGTTTATATTTGAGTTGTATAAACACAAAAATGGCTGACTGGCCTTGGTTGTGGAATTAAGACATGCCCAGGTAAGGGTTTAAATAAGGCATACGAGCATTGTAGGTTCGTTGTATGCAGATATTAGATGCTCGGGAATATGCTTCCTGATGCAAAGAGTGGAGATTCGTGTAAGTGTATTAAGTAGATACACGAAATGGGTATGCTCATTGTAGATGCAAAAGGTGAGTAGGTGGAAAGTTAGGCTCTGCGGCTGTGATAGCAGTGCAAGGACCTCAGGTTGTAATTAGGCTCCACAGCTACAATAGTAGTGCAAGGACCTCAGGTTAATGATTAGGCTCCGTGGCTGCGATAGCAGTGCAAGGACCTCATGTTTGTAATTAGGCTCCGCGGCTACAATAGTAGTGTAAGGACCTCAAGGCGATAATCAGACTCCACAGCTGCGATAGCAGTGCAAGGACCTCATGTTTAATTAGGCTCCATGGCTATAGTAGTAGTGCAAGGACCTTATGTTTGATTATTAGGCTACGCGGCTGTGATAGCAAT